CCAAAACAAAGACGATAAATTAATTTCGCACATTAATAATCGTTTGAACAGCAATTTTCTACAAACGTCGGTTTACATTTTCTCAGGTCAAGATTCGAAATCATTACGGACTAATAACCATGTTACCCATAAAAAAAAACTTCTAGTATCTCAATATTTGGTCAAGAATTTATTTGTTCACCTTTAAACTACCATATGAAATAATCAGTATTTAATTAGTCAATGTTCGATTATTTTTATCACTTTCTATTCGGGTTAGGTTCTTTATGACGTGTGTGCTTACATTTCGAACCGGCCTTTCGTTGGTCCTTAAAGCGATTTGCTTCTTGGAGACCGACAAAATACACAGGGAGATGTTCTCGACGTAAAATCTTCGACGATCATGTCAGTAAAAGGTTATGGAAAGCTGCATGCAAAAAGTAAGTAGTGATTTTGCAAAGCTTAGATTGTGTATAGTGTGATTAACAATTTACCTTCCATAACACTTCTATTTATATTAAACCATTGGCTTCTTGAATAAGTTTTACCCGACTGCCTGAGTGCTTGCTAGACGGTTATTTGGCTACTCCTATGTCTACCCGCTACCCATTTTTCATCCGTAGGATTATTTAGGGCATGCTTGTTTATGGATTTTTTCAATCCAATTTTTTCAACTCAAATATTTAACTCAACTTTAACTCAACACCACTATCTTTAATATTATTCATACAATTAAATAATAAAAACCAATCATTCTTACACATCACATCAACTTTAATTCACTATTCATCCACTGACATAATTTTAACTACCAATCATTTTCAATCATTTATCTCCTACTTTATATCAAATCAAATTTAATCATTTTTATTTTAAATATTATTTTAATATATTTTTTAAATTCCACTAACAATTAACCACATTACTTTTTCAACTTTAACTATAGTTAACAAAATGAAATATTTTGGTTGAAAAAATCCATAAACAAGCGCCCCTTAGATTTTTGCTTGCTAGATGGTTATTTGGCTACTCCTATGTCTACCAACGACCCATTTTCATCCGTAAAATTATTTAGATCTTTCCATAAAGTCCTAACAGGTCATTTTATTCTTTCTCCATAGGTCTTTCTACTCTCTTAGCCTTTACAAAACTTCCTCTAGACTAAGTCTCCATAGGTCGACCTATGTCACATATGTCCCCCGATCTGACATCACATAACAAGCGCGTCGGCTAACGCCGACCAGCCCAGTGGAGGGCCTGATCCCAGCGCTCGCGACGTACATGCCGTATCCAACTCCTTGGTTACATTCTTTTGGGGATTCTCGCCTAGCATGGTTATCAAATTAAGTTCCTTCGTAATATTTGTGAGTAAAATTATTAGCCTCTTATAGGCGGTAAAAGGCTAAAGTGTTACCACCAGTTCGGAGCTCCAACGATCTGCAATTGATACGCCAGGATATGCTCGACATAAATATTCTGACGCTCAAGTTAGTATGTGCTTGAGGCAGAGGGAGTATATCGATTGTAAATTATAATGATGCGTGCATGTAACTTGGCCTTTATATATATGCTTTGGGTAACTTGGCCTTCAAGAGATTTCTAGTTAGAAAAGAGATCCCCTCGTATCTACTTTCCTAACTCAGCACGTCTCTAGGATCTAAGACTCCTTAGCAAGATACACTTTCCACTCGTGAAGACTTTTCCCCTCCTACTCTACAGCTCTTAGGTCCTCATTTCATAACAACTACCTTCTTTACCTACCTGCCGTAATTTGCACCTACGCCGCAACCACGACCTCCACCTTCATGACCTACAAGTAATGAGGTCCAATCAAGCATCCGAGCTCCTTAGTTTCTCCGACCTCTGAGCTATTCGAACTGGTTCTACTTGTACCATGAGTTGCCTAAGCGAGCTCCTAACAGCTATTATGTATCAAAAACGGGCTGAACTCCCTTGAACCGGCCATGACCGAGCTACCTGTTATATGTAGCCGGTTCACCGAGCTATTTTGGGTGCTATATCCATTCGCACGTTTTTTGGTAAATTGTGGATAGCTTTTGTATTTATTCATTAACTAAATGAGGTTATATATGAGAAGTCACGTAAAGAATGCAAGAGAGATTTTAATAAACATGAACAGATGAGCTGGTCCAAGCTCTTGTTCTGCATGTGCCTTCTTTCATCTCCTTCAATGAATATAATGCAGTAATGCTGTGGCAAATGGGCAATCAAATTCATCTCGTTCTTGAATTCGATGTGCCCTTATTTGGAGATTTCTGGCAGCCTTTTTACTACTATAGTTTGTTTGTTCGGTGAACTCTCCTGCATTTAGACATGATTTTGTTCTAGAAAATGAAGCATTGGATCAATTTCCATACCCGGCAAAACTGCAAAAGTAGTGCACATTAACTTTGCGCTCGTGCGAAAACAGGGCAATATCTCTTAACAGAAAAAGAATCAGATATGTACGTAAAACACCCCTCAGCCCTCGATGTTGTTCACGGTTTTGATCAGAAGAAGGGTGAGGCGGACATCTCCAAGCTATAACAGGAAATGTTTTCCAACTACAAGCCGAAACCATTTTCCCTTTTCCTGTTTAGAGTTTGCGAAATTTGAACAAAATGCCTGGACAATTATGCATACCATTTAGCAAGTCTGTATATGAAATGTCATACTTTGAAAAACAATGTGTAAAATAAGTACACATTGTTTTTGCGAATGAGTACCTGATTCTTGTAAGTACGACAAAAATACACGAACCACTTCATGTGCAATGACTACACAAAATGCACCACCGAGGTTCGTAGATAATGCAGAAACTTTATGTTTCCCATACTATCGCCTTCATAAATTAGTAAAATCAAAACTCTTTCCTCAACTATCCCTTGTATAATAATTAAAATAAAAAAGAATGCCTACAACAAACCATTCTAGTCGAAAAAAAGAAAAAAAAAAAAAAAGAAATGCACATCAATATCTGGCCTTGACCGAGAGATTTATACACCGATAACCAAGCACATTAACCTCTCGATCGATAACTATCGAGCTTCGAGCATGGTCACGGTGACTTCATTCACGGTGAACGTCTCGTCTTGCCTGCTCGAGGATGACTCATTCTCGATCGGCCGTCTTCCTAAACAGTAGCCGGGATGCTTAGGCTCTTGTATGGACCCAATATCGCTGCTTAACATCAATAATATGGTTGACATATTTGGTCTATCGTCCGCATGTTCTTGAACGCACAAAAGCCCGACTTGTATGCATCTCATGACTTCACTCACCGAGTAGGGTCCACCCTTTACCGACGAGTCCATTAGCTCGAGCCCTTTACCTTCTCTATATAACTTCCATGCCTGTATAATTTTTAACTAAAGATTGTAAATAGGTGTTTCGAGATTCGGATTCTTAGCTAAAATCATATTTTTTTGAGAAACGCTAGATTGCATTTTTAGTACTGTTGCTTTTAACGCTATAGCAATTTTAATCCCAAGTTCTAACATTTCGCCTTTTAGTCCCATGATTTAATATTTGCTGCAATTTCAGTCATTTGAGAACGAAATTGCAACAAATTCCCAAATTTGTAGATTTGTTATTAACAATTTAACTCCTATAATTTAAAATATTGTTGCAATTTCAGTTTTGTAATTTAAAATTTTGTTTCAATTTCAATCATTGGAGGGTTGAAATTGTAGCAACATAGTAAAAAAGCAAAAAGTTGTAACTTTGGGACTAAAATTGCTATGACGTTAAAACAACATGACTAAAAATGCATTTTTGCCTTTTTCGAAACCATGAGAATGGTTTTCAAAATCATAAATAGCTAGCAAGGAAAGAATTTCTAACAAGTTCTCATTACTTACATATGCTAGAAGATTAAGCTCATTATTTGTCTGATAAAATCCCCTGTTCTTGGTCCCACTCACAATCTCCAGAACCAAAACTCCGAAGCTGAAAACATCGGATTTTACAGAGAAGAGGCCGTCCATTGCATACTCCGGGGACATATAACCACTGCAAAAGATTAAAGGGGGAAAAAAAAGAAGTTAGTTAGATTTTGTTTATTTGGTCTTCAAGAATAGACTTAATGTTATTTTTTCCTTTTGTTTTCATTGTGTGCTTACTAAGTTCCCACAACTTTTTTCGTGCTGGCTTCGGTTTGATCTCCTCCGAAAATTCTAGCCATGCCGAAATCTGATATCTTCGGGTGCATTTCTTTATCAAGAAGAACGTTGCTAGCTTTTAAATCCCGGTGAATAATCCTAAATCTCGAGTCCTGGTGAAGATAGAGAAGCCCTCGTGCAATACCACATATAATGTCGAACCGTTTCGGCCAGTCGAGCATCGATCTTTTTTCCTTCTCTGCAAACCAAAAAAAAAAAGATTAAGAATAATATATGATGCATGGAAATAAAATAGTCCCATGTAATCAAGTATTGCTAAATTATACTCTGAGTCAAAAACAGGACTTACTGAACAAAATAGAATCCAAGCTTTTGTTTTCCATATATTCATATATCAACATTTTCTCCTCCATATCTACACAGCAGCCGAGCAAACGAACGAGATTCCTGTGCTGAAGTCGAGCGATCAATTTCACTTCGTTCATGAATTCATCTAATCCCTGACCGGAATTTTGCGATAGCCGTTTTACTGCTATCTCCTGACCACCTTCCAGCACACCCTGATCGATCCACTCGAAATCAACGAAATAATTAATATGAAGATTTTTTTTTTGTTTACATGAAAATTTTTAAATGTTCAAGATTCATTTACCTTGTAAACACTGCCAAAGCCACCTTGTCCGAGTTTGTTCGAGTCCGAGAATGTTTTTGTGGCGGTTATTAAAGTGCTGATATCGAACAATGGTAAATCGAGCTCGTCTGTTACATTTTCACCCGAGTGGTCTTGTTTGCTCGGTATAGTTGATGCATTCATTAGAAGGTCTCGACTTCTTTCCCTTGGACCTATACATAAAATTCGATGGCCGTAATTAAGGGTATATGTGAGATGGGAATATAGGGCATATTAAGTGTGCTTTTTTTTTTGGTGTGTTTTTTTTACCTCTTTGCTCATAGGAATTTCCTATTGAAGCTTTTTTTGATTTTCTTCTCTTCCATACAAAGAAAATGGCTACTGCAAAGAGAAAACTCCCTGCAGAAATCCCCACAATCTCGATAATTTTTCCGGCCTTGTTCAAATGATCTCCAGAGCCGGCAGCTTGAGTTTGATCCAAGAAAAAAAAAAAAAAAAAAGATATAAATATATATGTGCATAATGGTAGTAATCAGACACTGCAATCAGGAATGTTTCTGAATATTTCAAGTTAACATGTTTGGAACATGATTACAGATTTAGTTCTGGACTACATTAAAGAACTTCACATAGCAGTTAGTAGGATTCTAATAGAAACAATTCTTGGGTGAGCATGGTGCGGTTCGGTGTGCACCGAACCGCAAAAAACTGAAAATCGAAAATATTTATTTATCCAAACCGAACCGCACTGCACTGAAACTGGTAGAAAAACCGAACCGAAACCGCACCGAAATTTTCGGTTCGTGCGATGCGGTTTCGGTTAACCCCAATTTTTTGAAAAAAATTAAATAAAATAAAATGTAGCTACATCCTCATCATCGTCTAATGAACCAAAGTCCCAAAATTTGAACTCAAAGTGAAAAACTAGGGCAACAAATTAGATTCTAATGTAATATTTTTAATTTTTAATTGTTATTAATGTTAGTCATCCCAAACCATGGGTCCAAAATGAGCATCTATATGTACAATACAAACATGTTAACGTATTTGTTAAAAAAGAAAAAAAGAAAAAACATATTCGGTGCGGTTCGGTTAAAACCGCACCGCACTGAAATTTGTGTAGTTTTTCAAAATTTTAAGTGTACCGAAAACCGAACCCTTGAAAAACCGAACCTAATACGTCGGTTTTGGCTCGGTTTTTTTTTATTTCGGCTCGATTTTGCTCACCCTAATTCTTGCTCGAGAATCGGGAGAACCAAATTGTAAGAAACTAAACAGGTGCAATCCCACGCAGATGAAGCACCATGACAGGGAAAGCCCAGATGAAACCCAAATGGAGTTCCATCCCAAAACCAATTAGTCGAAGGAGGAGTAGCACATTAGACTTATAAATTAGACCTATTTTTCCTATATAAACGATGTGGGACAACTCACAATTGATATTATAACACGAATATGGTATTATTTTTAATTGTGTATGATGTTATTTGGTACACAGATGTTATTATCTCTATAGCATTGTTAGTCAAAATAAATCCTAATTAAAAACAGCAACACACATAACAAAAAAAGTAACACTACACACAACTAGAAATTACTCTTTTGTTTTTTTGTTTTTTTTAATATTTATGTTTTCAAAAGAGATGTAATTCAAACTGAAGGTAGAAGATAAAGAATGCACCATGATTGAAGGCAAATCTCATTAAAGCATGGCCTGAAAGAGTTGGGACAAAGAAAAGCTTTTTTGAAATTTGGTAAACAAAATTGGAAACTAATACTTACAAAAGGAGCCAATAAAGTCAATAAGGTTGGCATGCATTTAGGTCCTAGTATTTACTTTTAT